GCCTGCCTCCCTCCCTCCCTCCCTTCTTCTTTCCTTCCTTCCTGGAGTCTCTCTCTGGGATTCTGACCTCTTGATTGATCAGCTTCTCCCATAGACTTGACCTGGAAATTCTCATTCTCTGTTTCCTTAGCAACTGGTGGGTAGCTGTTACCCTTCATCAGTTGGCTTTCTGATCCCAAACTCCTCTGTGTCTTTCCTCAAGGTCCCATCAACCCCTCCTGGGCCCTATGTAGCTTCAGCCCCTGTCTATCTGTTGATCCTATAGTGGCTCTGATGTGGCTTCCCAGAACAGAGTCCAGTTGGAGTGCGTGGACCTACATAGAGGATTTAGGTCCTGGAACTCAGGCTGGGCTGAGTGGGAATGGAGTGGGGTAGGGTTAAAATGTCACCATCTGAAGTGGTCTGACTATTGTGGTCCAGGGCCAGGAACAGTCCCAGTGTGTGTCCACTCATATCACATCAGTGATAGAGAGACCAAGGTGCCCTTGCCTTCAGATGACCCCATGGCTCTCATGTTTTCTGAAGCCCAGAAGGTCTGAGTCAACAAGCTGTATACCTCTAAGGGGCTCTGGGTCCACTGTAGAGGGTTAAGTCTGGCCTTGCATCCTATGAAGGGATAAGGAATGAGCCCGGCCAGAAGGTGAGTGTGTAGTCATGTACCCTGAGTCTTGGAGAGACGGGGCATGGGTATCCCAGTGACTCTGATAGCCTGAGCCCCAGGAAGAAAGCGCATGGAAGGCCAGAGCTTCCTAGCGCTTGGGGTGCCAAGAAACTCCCAGGCATATGGGGGTGGGGTCTAATCAGGAACCTGGCAGCTGAACATAAAGAAGACCACAGTGGTATACCTAAGATGCCCCGACTCATTCCCGGAAGGATGTGCTATCCTAGCGCAGAGTGCTGCCACCCGGCCCCGCTCTCCCTAGGAATATACACTGATACAATAACCTGGCCACGTATTCAGGCCCTGAGGGATACCCTGACTGCATCTGGGTTGCCCTCTGCCCTGTCCTATCCTACCACATGCCTGGGGCCACAAACTGTGTGTGTCCTCTCCATTCCATCCCAGGCACCTGCCAGGCACACTGTCAGTGCCTGCACTGGGTGGCGTCCAGCTGCTTTTAACCTGAGTTGACCGCTCATATCTTCCAGGATGTGCTGTGCCGAGTTCCCTCATGTGATCCCTTCCTGACCCCAAAGCACAGTCCTGTGGCAGGCGTGGCCCACACAGTGTGGAGCTGTGCTCTGCTATCTCCCAGAGTCTACTGTGGGTGGTGGCTTCTGGGTGGCCCTCTGCTTACTGATGAGGCCTAAAGGCAGCCTGAAGACAGTTTGCTTGGGAAAAGGAAGCAGGGTGGAGGCAGAGCCCTTGACATAGCCCTGCACCTTACCTGAGAGGAGAGCTGGGACATTTCTCACCTTGTTTGCTAGGAGCGGGAGCCTGGGATGACCAGTGTGTGACAAGATGAAGACGGGCAGCCCTTCCCCAGCTGGTGGGCCAGGGGACTGGCAAGACTCTTTGGTGGGAACTCTGTGATCAGATCCTTGGTGTGGGACCATGGTCTATATTCTGTCAATTATATTTTAAATAAATGCTGATTGGCCAGTAGCCAGGTAGGAAGTATAGGTGGAACAACCAGATAGGAAGTAGAGGAGGGTCAATGAGAACAGGAGAGTTCTGGGAGGAAGGAAGCCCATTCCTCCGGAGTCCTGACCAGCCACAGAAGGAGCAAGATGTGACTGCCCTGCTGAAAAAGGTACTAAACCATGTGGCTAACACAGGTAAGAATAATGGGCTAACATGTTGTAAGAGTTAAGAAGCCTGAGCTAATGGGCCAATCAGTTTATAGTTAATGTAGACCTCTGTGTGATTTCTTTGGGACCTAATGATTACGGGAACCGGGCAGAACAGAAACCTCAGACAACAGACCCTGGAGACAGCAAGGTCACACCTGGGGATCGGTCACATGGCAATGGTTTTCTGACACCCCAGTGGAGGCCTATAAAGAACTGATTATACCCCAGGAAGCTGTTCACAAGCTTATCTTCAAAGGATGTGTGCTAGATCACTGTATTGAGAGTATTGTCCCATCTGAAGATATGCAGAACTGGAGAGTGGGCTCTCCAGAGCAGGAATACCAGGGTACCCTGTGGTGAAGGGCAGCTAAATGCCTCCATATGTCTCATTTTTTCCTGACATGTGTGTCCTTGATGAAGCTATTCTTCCTCATGCCATGTGTCCAGCCTAGAACTGGCCATGAGGTAAGGATGGGGGTGGGGGCAGGACAGAACACCCCAGGAAATGACATGTTTTGAGACAGGATTTCTGTGCATAACAGCCCTGACTGTCCTGGAATTCTCTTTGTAGATCAGTCTAGCCTTGAACTAATAAAGGTCCACTTACCTCTGCCTCTCGAGTGCTGGGATTAAAGGTGTGTGTCACTACTGCCTGGCCAAGAAAGACTTTTAAACTTCCTTCTGGCCACCTACTATTTGCCCCCTCCTGTCCTGGGTGCTGAGGGGTGAGCCGCACAAGCACATTTGCCTCCGTGAAGCATGCTGAGTGCCTGGTACCATCAAAGCTGCTGGTTCCAGTAGACTAGCCCATGACATGGTCCTGGGGGAGCTAGAACCAAGGACTCAGGGATGCTAGGCCGGCAAAAGCTGGACCTCACTTAGGCGCTGTATCCTGAAGCCCACCTCCTAGCTCTCTCTCCTCTGCACTTCCTTCCATGGCCCCACCTCAGCACCTTCATAGCCTCTTTTCCTATGGCCTGGGTCTCTGCCCTGGCCTGAAAATCCTGTCATCTGCTGCTGGGGACACAGTGGAACAGGGGTCGTGATCACCTTCATTGGGCCGGGATAGGTCTAGGGACAGCCCAATCAGTTGCTTAGCCCCAATCCTGAGTAGTGGCTCAAACTCTGTAGGGTTGTGCTTTGTATCCCATTACCAGGAGGCTTTGATCGGCCGCTGGGTTGAGCCTCAAGGTCTTTGGCAACCTGGGACCATCAATATTATTTTTTTCCTGTAGGTTGAGGCAAATAAAAGCTCATCCAGAAGGGAGAGCAGGGATGAGTGCCCTACCCTCCATGGGAGGGAGTCTTGGCCCTCACACATGTTTGAGTGGGACTTCTATGCAATCTGAACTTAGCGATTTCTAGGATTCTTGGCAAAACTCCCAGTCCAATGTTTCACAGTTAAAAGCCCCAGGTTCCACCATTAGCCTCATGAGCCATGGGTGATGGTAGCCAAGGAAGAGCTCCTTATGAGAAATATTTCATCAAAACTTTGCTCAGAACATCAGGGACCGAGTTCCTGGCCAGGGTATGGTTCATGCCAAGGCCCTGAGGCCACAATGTATGTAGAATGAGCTCACTAGACATCTGTGACTGAGGCTGCTTTCTTCAGAACTAAAGGAACACTCTAGCCTTAGTGATGGGGCAACACCCAGGCCAGCAGTTAATTAAGTAACAATGGGCCTGCTCCCTCCAGCTAGGCTACACAAATCATCCTGAAGAGGGGTCTGCCAAACACCCACAGCACCTGCCTCTGGACTGTCCTGCAGTGAGGCCGAGGAACTTGGGATCTTTTAATTTCACGGGCGTGTGCACGCCTCGCCCTGCCTATTCTCCTATGGTATAGTCACCTCCTGAACCTTCTCAACCAAAGCCACCAAGACTGGAGGCCTGGTGAGTCCTACTGAGCTCTAGATCTGGGTGGGTGGAGAGCAGATAATCCTGCTCTTGAAGGCTGAATGAAGCCTGACCTGCTATCCTTGGGAAATGGTCGAGTTGCCCAGCTGCCCAGGTCTTCTGCTGCCCCTGGGTCTGAGACACCAGTGCCTGTGGGCATTGCCTCCTCCTGGCCCTGTCCAGTTCTGTGGCAGAGATGGTGCTGATTGGCCCGGCTCTGCAGCTCCGGCCTGGCTTTGGTGAACTGTGAAGGGCCCAGAGGAAAAGGTGGAATTACAACCTGGCCCAAAGTCACACTGACCCTCTCTGCAGCCACACCCTGGGCCCTGGCAGGCTTTGATAAAAATGAGCTGCACAGTGGCTTAGTTGTCTGCCTCTCAGGCCACGCTCATGCCCAGCCCCTTCATGTATGGCTGCTGTCACAGAGCACCTGCTGGGGCAGTCTTATATCCAGTGTATACCAGAGCCGAGCAAGCCACTCTCTCCAGACCTCTCCCATGGTACCCACTTCCTTTTGTGTCTAGCTTGCCTGGATAACCCACTATGGGCACTGGAAAGGTCTGCAGCTCTGACACGGACCTGGGACCTGATGATATAGAAACCTGTGTGGTGGGGGTGGGGAGGCTCAAGTAGGGGAGCTGGAATCTCCATCACTGGAGCTGCCCTAAATGGCAGTGGAGAGGAATGCACCTTGTCGGTGACTGTCCTCCTGGATGTTTGTGGCCATCTCATCTAACTTCTTGCTCTGGCTCCCCGGCTATAGGGGGGAAGCCAGTGCAGCTTCCCATGAGGACCGAGCAAGCAGAGCCCTGTGTGTGGCCCTCCAGGTGCTTGGCCAAACCGTGTGGACCTTCTGGTGCCCCCAAATGCTCATCCCCTCAAGGCTGTATCAGTGCCCTTTAGCAGGTATCTCTCTGTGCCAGCTCAGGGCCATTGTAACCTGGAGGATCATGGAGGGCACAGAATGACTTGCCACCCTGCAGCCTGCAAGGAACACTTATTTTTTTCACTTGATATTGTTTTAACATTTTTAATTAAGAGGTCATATCTCATCATATAACATTCTATCTAATTATTTCTAAATTTTCTAATCATAGTTAAATGTACAGAGCACAGTATCTTCTCTGCCATTGTTGAGTAGGCAGTTCAGAGGTGTTTTCAAGTCAGCCAGCTCTGGAACTCTCCTCATGGGTCCATTAAACCCTCCCCCTCCCCCTCTTCCCTCCTTGCTGTCCCCCCTCCCCACAGTCCCATCCCACGTATGATTTTAAGAGTCTGATTTCTCCCTCTGAGGAGAAGCCCTACATCTTGTTTTCTGTGACTGGCATCTTTCTGAGCATCGTGTTCTCAAGACTCCTCCATGTTCTAGCGTGTACAGAACTCCTTCCGCGATAAGGCCAAAAAGTATGTTTCGATCCTTCTGGCTTTACCCCTACTCTAGTCCAGGGATACATTTAAGGGTTCTACCTTTTACCTGTTTGAAAAATATGGCAGTTGAAAGCCCTGCTTTTGTACTGTGTGCAAACATTTGTTTGAATTTTGGTCTCTGTTCATCTAGGCTTTTGCTACAGAGGCTCTACCACCGGACACCGTGGAACACAGTGCTCCAGACAGATCCCCAAGGCTGCCACATCCTCACCAACATACATCATTTGCTGTTCTCTCTTTTTGTATGATGAGCATCCTGATAGGTGTGAGGTAAAGTTCATTGAGGTTCTTGTTTTTCTGGCATTGGGGGCAGACCTCAAGGCCTCTTGGATGCCAGTACCAGGCCTCTTTTTACTCTTTATTTATTTGTGTGTGTGTACATCCTCAATCACTTTTCATCACACTTTTTGAGACTGAACCTGGAGAATCACCGGTCAGCTAGACTGACTAGTAGACAAGCCCCAGAGATCCCCCATCTCTGCACCCCTGTTGCTGGGATGATAAATGTGTGACCTCTGCCAGACTCAGGTCTTCTTCCTTGCATAGCAAGCACTTCACCTACTCAGTCATCTCCCTGTATTCTGTATTTTAACTGTGAGAGAAGGTTTCACGAAGTTGCCCTCTGTAGCCTTGGCAGGTGACGAACAGGTCATCTCCCTGCTGCACAATGCTGCAATGACTGTGGCCACTCAGTGTGGCTTTGATTTGCATTTTCCCAGCTATCAGTGCTACTGAGCTCTGTGCATGCTGCCTGCTGCTTAGTGGTTTCATTAGAGGCTGGAGTTCAACCTACCACCTCTACGTCCCAACACTGGAACACACCAGACTAAGTTCCCATTCCTGAATAATGGGTGCTGTGGCCTGGACCCAGTACCAATGTTATGCCACAAAAGCCAACAAAGGAGACATGAGTCCCATATGTAAAAGCAAAGAGCCTTTATTTTAATCAAGTTTGCAAATTTGGTCTCTCCGCATGTCCAACATATTGAAACATCCGGAGAGCCCCGAGCTCAATTAGAATTGGGTTTTTATAGTAGTAAAGGTGGGGGTGAGGGAGGTCTCTGAGGTTCAGGACCCCTGATTGGCTGACATTTGTCTAGGGGTGTCCTGGTGAAGTGCTGGCAGTTGTTTCTATTTACAGTGCTTGGAATGCCAGGAATTTCCTTTGAATGGTCTGCTCTTGGATAGGGGTCAGGTAATCTCAGCCTGCCAGGCATTGTCTCAGGGTAATCTATTGAGACTCCAATAGTTTATCCATTTAAATTTATCAATGGCCAGAGTCCCAGGTGATAATGGATGGAGGAAGTAAAGTACTTCCTTTTTGCCCAGATTTAGATTATCATGGCTGATCCTCACACCAACCTAACGTGTGACCATGGCCTTACCTACCCAGGATGGCAAGTTAGACTCCAGCCTTCCTAGCCTCTGGTCCCCAGCCTCAGCTTCACTCATCTTCCTATGACCCATGAAGGACCAGGGAACCCAGCTTCCTGCACCCACGCTCAACAAACTCTAGACTTCAGAGATCCCAAAGGATGTAGTTAATATCAGGGCAGTGCTACAGATTTGGGATGGAGTTGGGATCAAAGTCTGGGTCTGCAACACTCCCTCCATTCCTAAACCCCCACCTCCCCATCCCCACCTGACCCTCAAGATCTCTAAGCCGACTAGTCTATTTGTCATACTGTGGGCTCTAGAACTAAACTCCTGTCCTCATGCTGGTAGATCCCTGGTCACCTGAGTTGGCTTTGCCATTGTACTCCCAGTGTGGGCTTCTAGGGGCTTCACCGGTTTATTAAGCAAAACCTCCTACCCAACTCCCTAACTCAGCTCAGATTCATCACTCTCTCCACAAAGGGCAGCTTTTGAAACAAAAAGGTGGGCTCCTTGTCCTCAAAGAAGTCACCAGATTGTATGACCAGAAAACAGCATCTCCATAGTTTCAAACCCTCAGAAGCAAGAAACTTGTATTTTCCCTTTAAGAGGACCAGCTCAGACAGCGGAAAGCAGACAGTGGAAGTTTAAACCCAGGCATTCACTGCGCAATTGTATGCAAATATATGCATCTGTTGGGAGGGAAGAAGGTAATCTCCAGAAACAGGAAGCTGCTCATCAAAGGCTTGGAATCCCAGACTGGGCTCCCAGAATCTCAGGGGCAGCAGAACGGGAAGGGGCTGGTGTGGTTCAATATTGGAGCTCTCCTAACAGGTGGCACGCGGTCCTGGGTGCACTGGGAGCCAGAAGGGCGAGCGGCTGAGTCCTCAGCACAAGTGGGGGGGCATAGAAGGACCAAAGAGATGACTGTGTTACCCGTGTCAGTTCACAGTGAAGGGAAAGTGGTTTATACATACTTAATAAAACTCCAAAATTAATTCTACCTGCATCTTTATAAAAAAAAAAAGTAACAACCTAGCTGGAGAGATGGCTCAGTTGAAGGGCTTGCTGCTCTTGCAGAGGACCTGAGTTCAGTTTCCAGCACCCACGTGGTGGCTCAACAATTACCGGGACTCCAGTCACAGATCTGGTGCCTCTTCGGGCAACTATAGTCAAATAGGCACCTGAGCCATTTGTCCCAGGTCCCTAACATCTATGGGATCCACATACATGTCTACATGCACACACACACACACACACACATGAATAAAAACTAAATGAATCTTAGAAAAGCAATCACCATTAAAAGAATGTAGCAGCCAAGCTGGGTGTGGCAGTCAGTGCACCTGCAATCCCAGCCTTGGGGAGTTTGAAGCTAGCCCGGGCTATAAGCGTGAGCACCTGTCTCAGAGAGCAAAGAGAAACAAAACAAAAGAACTTGGGGGATGGCTCAATAAACTCAAGGATATGAGTTCAAAACACCCAAAACTAGAAATGGTAGCATGTGTTTGTAGTCTCAGTGCTGGGCTTGAGGAGCTCTAGACCCATGAGAGAACTGGCCTCACAAAACAAGGTAGATGGCCCCCGAGGAACAACACCCAAGGCTGACCTTTGACCTCTTCACATGCCCATCTGCACATAAAGGAACACACACCCCCTCTCCCCCCCCCACACACACACCAGTCAGAATTATAACATCATGTGGGTGTCTCTCATGACCTGCCCCTTGGATAGTGCCTGTGCAGGTAATAATGTGTGAATGAAGCCAGCGTGAAGGGGTGTGTGCTCTCTCTGCTGGTGTGGGATGAAAGACGCACAGGGAGGCTGGAAAGGTCAAGGCTGAGGAACTGCTTCTGCTTCCCCCCACACTGGAATGTGCCAGAAGCAGCTCACCACGAAAGAGTGCACAGGAGCCACCTGTGTTAAAGCCAGAGTCCCAACCCTGTCCTTAGCACCTCCCATTAGACTCCACCCCTTACACTGTTGCCCTGGCAACGAAATCTCAAAGAAGACAGAATGAGGTCATCTCAGAGTAAACTCAGTCTGGGGGCCTTGGGCAACACCACTAAGAGTGAGTGTCAGCTTGCCTCCCATCTGTCTGGTGATGGATGGCAGTCACTATGTCCTCCAGCCTGCTGAAAGGGTGAAAAAAGATTCTTTTTGTTTGTTTGTTTGTTTGTTTAAAAACGTGTATGAGTATTTGCCAGCCTGGATGTGTGTGCACCATGTTGTGTGCACCATGTGCCCTGGGACCCCGGAAGAGGGTATTAGAGCCCCTGGAACTGTACTTACAGATAGCTATAGGCTGCCATGTAGGTGCTAAGAATCAAACCTATATAAGTCCTCTATGTAAGAGCAGCTGGTGCTCTCAACTGCTGAGTCACTGCTCCAGTCCCTGGAATGAGATTCTTGCCATCACGGGGCTTGCAGGATAATGAGATGAACACACCATTGTTCTCCAGGTAAAGATGGAAGATGGAGGCAAAGATGAAGGTGGAAATCCCACACCGTAAGGGCAGTGAGGCCCCACTTCCACTGCGAAGTCTCTGAGGTTCTCACAAACATACTGTTCATAGCCGAGGCAGGGGTCCCATTTCTTTACTTATCTGGGGGCTTGGGTGGGCAGAGGCTGTTTGTGCCTGTGGAGGGAGTTGATGCACTGGTTGGGCCTGCTGCAGGAAGTGTGCACGCTGATGGGAGCCGTGTTACCTAATGATACCCTCTACACCTTTTCACCCCTGCCTTTTGAGAGCTCTGGAGACACCTGTGGGGACCCTGCCCTCCTGCACAGGTTGGCCCAGCCTATATCTTCGAGGAGGCCACTGTGTTCCCAAAAGATGCATCATACGGGGCAGTGGGTGGGAGCCCTGGCCACCCTGGCCTCAGCCTTGGTTGGTGTCTTTGATCCTGGATCCTAGCTCAGTTCTCTCCCTCCACGTGCCCGTGCAAACACACATCTCATTATGTTCCACCTGGATTAGTGTTCGCTTTGCAGTGGGAAAGGGGACGCTTCCCAGAGGGGGGTTGAAATGATGAGCAGGTAAAAGCCAGCCGCCAGGTCCCAATTCATCGTTTGATTTCAGCAGGAAGCCTGCCTCGCCTCACAGGCCTCACACGTGGCAAGGCTGGGATCTCAGTGAAACGAACACTTCTCAGACATCAGGAGCAGCAGGGGCCCGGCTCAAAGGAAAGCAAGCAGAGGGTACTGCCACCCAAGCAGGCTGTGTGCAAGGGGGTGGGCTTTGGCTCGCTCGTATGTCCAAGCCGCCCTCCTTTCAAAGAGGCTAGACTGGTGGATTGGGGAATGGATGTTGGGGAGTAATGTCTAAATAGGAGGTGTTATGCCCAGTTCACGGAGCCCTCCAAAAACCAACAAGGAGACCGAGTCCTGTATGGAAAGCAAAGAGCCTTTACTCTTATTCAAGTTAGAACGCAGACTTTCCCTGTGTCCAACACATCAGCACAACCAAAGAGCCCTGAGCTTAGTTGGGCTGGGACTTTTATAATAGCAGAGATTGGGGTGAGGGATTTCTGAGGTTCTGGACCCCTGATTGACTGACATTTGTCTAGGGGTGTCCTGGTGAAGAAGGGATGGGTGTGTGCTGGGCTAAGGAACAACAGGTGACCCTACCTACAACAGTTGGCACGCCAGGAATTTCCCTTGGATTGGATTTGGGTATTGCCGTAGGATAAACTGAGACTTGGCCTACTTTCCAGTCGGTCTCCTGAGAGCCTGTCTTGGCAGGTGTACACCAAGCTGCTCTGGGTCCTACAAGAGCAATGGTTCATCTGTGGTGGTAGTGACAGTTTGTGTGAACTGAAAGGACTTGCAGATTGTAGCCTCTAGTGACATCAGTTATCTCTTCTGACCTCTGGCGTGAGTTATGTAGGATAGAGCCAGCCCCCAGAACTGGGCACATATCACAGGACCTTAAATTAGGTAGAAGAGGTTCTGTTCTGGTCAAAACTAGCCTAGACTGGACTGCTGGGATATGATCTGGCTTGATCTGGTTTGGGCTGGTCTAGTCTGTTTTAAGTCTAGTCTGTATTCATTTAAGCTTGTCTGATCTTGTCTATTCTGGTCTAACATCTGAGCTGGTCTAAACTTGTCTGGGCTAGTCTATTCTGCTGTTGTCTAAGCTAGTCT